GCTTTAGCTCTACTGGAAGGTATAAAGCTCTGCAAGTCTCAAAATTTTCCCATTCATATTATGAAGGGTGACTCCTCTTTGGTGTTAGGAGGCTTAGCTCGCCAATCTCCTATTCCTTGGCAGTTGACATATATTTTCAGATCTTGTTGGGCAAACATTTCTCATAATATTACCATACTGCATATGCATAGGGAGGGGAATAAGACAGCTGATGGGCTTGTGGATTGGGCATTTCAGCACATGTCTTGCATGATTTTATTTTCAGAGAATGATTTTCCTTCTGTGTCATCGAGCTATTTCGGATTATAGATTGGGTCTGTATACTAATCGTTCAGGATAATGTGTTTGGATTTTGTATGCAGTAAGTTGACTTGCTGATTTTTAGTTGCTAAACTATTTCAGAAAAATTTCCTATTTTTGTTATTATTTCAAGGGTTTAGGTTTTCTTGTCTCCCTAGTATGTTGAGATAGGTTAGATTGTCCCTATTTGTCTTTTTCCACATTTATTAATATACTCACCAGGGTACTGTCCCTATTCCCTAAAAAAATTAATAATAAATTCAACTAACCGTAATAAAATTAATTCTAATCCAAAAGCTTACCAAATTTTAACTATCGCTATTAATTAACAAATTACAATATTGTAATAAAAATTTATCTATTTAATTTGATAATAAATTCAAATAAACGTAATAAAATAAATTCGATTGAAACATTTACAAAATTTTAAATATCGATATTAATTAACAAATTACAATATTATAATTAAAATTTATCTAATTAATTTAATAATAAATTCAACTAAACGTAATAAAATAAATTATAATTGAAACGTTTACTAAATTTTAAATATCAATATTAATGAACAAATTACAATGTTATAATCAAAATCTATCTAATAAATTTAACTAAACATAATAAAATTAATTCTAATTCAAAAATTTACTAAATTTTAAATATCGATATTAATTAAGAAATTACAATGTTATAATCAAAATTTATCTAATTAACTTAATAATAAATTCAACTAAATGTAATAAAATTAATTCCAATTCAAACGTTTATAAATTTTAAATATCGATATTAATTAAAAATTATAATATTATAATCAAAATTTATCTAATTAACTTAATAATAAATTCAACTAAACATAATAAAATTAATTCTAATTCAACATTTTCTAAATTTTCAATATCGATATGAATTAACAAATTATAATATTATAATCAAAATTTATCTAATTAATTTAATAATAAATTCAACTAAATGTAATAAAATTAATACTCATTCAAACTTTTACTAAATTTTAAATATTGATGTCAATTAACAAATTACAATATTATAATCAAAATTTATCTAATTAATTTAATAATAAATTCAACTAAACATAATAAAATTAATTCTAATTCAAATTTTTACTAAATTTTCAATATTGATATTAATTAACAAATTACAATATTATAATCAAAGTTTATCTAATTAATTTAATAATAAATTCAACTAAACGTAATAAAATTAATTCTAATTCGGACGTTTACTAAATTTTCAATATCAATATTAATTAACAAATTACAATATTATAATCAAAAATTTTCTAATTAATTTAATAATAAATTCAACTAAACGTAATAAAATTAATTCTAATTCAAACATTGACTAAATTTTCAATATCGATATTAATTAACAAATTACAATATTATAATCAAAATTTGTCTACTTAATTTAATATTAAATTCAAATAAACGTAATAAAATTAATTCTAATTCAAACATTTACTAAATTTTCAATATCGATATTAATTAACAAATTATAATATTATAATCAAAATTTATCTAATTAATTTATTAATAAATTCAACTAAACGCAAAAAAATTAAAGCTAATTCTAACGTTTTCAAAAGTTTCAATATCGATATTAATTAACAAATTACAATATTATAATCAAAATTTATCTAATTAATTTAATAATAAATTGAACTACCTAATTAATAAAAATAACTATATTTAAATTAACCCTAATTCAAATCCAATTAAATATTAAATACCAATTAATTAACTTTTTTTTTTTTTTTTTGGAGAGTAGGGAAGTTACCCTGGTAATTTTATTAATAATTTTGGTAAAAGAATAAAGAAAGACAATACAGCCTAACCCACTGTATGAGAAGATAAGGAAGCCTAGACCCCTAAAAGACTAATAGAAGATTATATTATACAGTTAACTTTTTTTATACCTTTTCTAAGAATGTGATAGGCACAGGATTCTAAGCATAAACATAAAAATACATGACCTGAAACGTAATCAACATCAATAACAATATAGAGATACATATTAATCCAAAGATATTCCTTATATTATACATATATAAAAAGGGCATGAAGTGTTAGTGTAGCTAACCCGCTACAATAGATCAAAAGGGCATCGTTTTGAGTCATTTTGGCTTGAAATTATGTCGTTTTAAAAAAAATAAAATAAAATAACTTTTTTTTAAGTCATTTTGTCAAAAATTTTACATTTTGATCATTTGAGTTATATTTCTATACAAAATGTTGTCTTAATTAAGTTTTATTGCATAAAGGTTCCTGTGTTTTTATGGTTGGCTGTGCTTCTAGCCCAAGTGTGTGGGCCTGGTTGTCTTTGGCCCAGCCTCTTTTTTTATATATTTTTTTCATTATTTATTATTTACTCAAAATTTTTCTATAATTAATGCTTTTTTTTAAAAAAAAATGAGACTAGTTAACTAAAATAAACACTCTTCTAATATAAATTGATTTAGCCAATTGGATTTTTTAAAATAAATAATTAAGTTCATGTTTTTTTTTTCAAAATAAAAAATATTCCTAAGATATATTTAAACTTAATTATATATATATATATATTCTCACAGTTAGCGTTAAAATATTTTATTTTATGTCTAGATTTTTTAATTATTTATATAATATATAAACTTAATGGTGGCGATGTGCGGGTACTATTCTGGTGACGAAGTAAAAGAAAATGTTCAGTAAGCTAGCGTCAAATAAGATTAAAGAAATAATTGACATTTGACGGTGGCGTCGCTAAAAAGGACGAAAACCGGTCTAAGATAACGGATCTAACTCTATTCACAATCACATGGAGGAAAGAAAACTTTGTACCCTGTGTAGGTATGGACAAAAATAAGTGACATAAACGTGAGGACCTGGACCATTTAGGAAATAATGTAAAAGCAATATAAACGTACAAGCACAGCCAGGCAAGTCTGAAATAGGGTTTCGGTTTTCAGTGGAGTTCATTCTAAATTGGTCCCTATAATTTGTTAAAATAAATGATTTAGTCCCTATCATATGAGAAATAAGTAAAAACTCTTGGATTGACCTTTAAATATTTTACAGATTTTTCATCTTTCACGTTCGTAAATTACTCTTCCATCTATATTCCGTCAAAAAGAGATAATTCATAAGCATAATGCAAAAAAAAAAAAAAAATTAGAATTTAGATTTAAATCTTAATCCAACAACAATAAATCTCTTTGAAAAACTACAAGTAAGAAAAAAAAATTCACCTTCGTTTTTCAATTGGGTGTCAATGGAATGTACGTTTTTTCTGTCTTATTTTCAAATTTTTAGATACCTTTTCAACATATATATATATATATATACTAGTTGAGGTTTTTGAAAGTAATAAATGTCTTCTTTTTTTTTTTTTTTGGTGGGGGAGGGAGGGAGGATAGGAATGAGGTAGAATTAGAAAATTTAACTAGAAAAGAAGTGCATCTTTAGAATAACAATTATTAAATTGGGGCAGTTCATCATTTTAATAGTGGAAAAGTAATGGAGGAATTGAGTTATTAACGAATATAAAACCATAGGGACCATTTAATTATTTATCACACATGATAGTTATAACAATGACCAATGCAAACAACAGGCCAAAAATTGGAAGTTCACTTTATTTACAATATATATATCTTTTATAGATCAGAACAATGCATGAAGGGTGGTGGCGCAGTTGGCTAGCGCGTAGGTCTCATAGCTACTGAGGAATCCTGAGGTCGAGAGTTCGAGCCTCTCTCACCCCAATTTTTTTTTTTTTGTTACTTGGAGACGTATGAGTCCGTCAATCTATGGCAAATTAGTATGGTTCAAGAACCATGAGATGGATATACCACACACAGTTATAGAAGAACTTCTCAAATTTTTTTCTTATTTTAGAGCCTGTGATGTGAGAATGTGATATGGTGATATGATTTCATCTCACAAGAAAATCTTTATTTCAAAATAACAAAAGCTCCAAACTACAAGAAAAAATCACTTGATGCAGTTCGGTGCAAGTCCTGCCATAAGGTTGATGCATGTAGAGTAGAGGCATCCCAAGACTTGAGATGTGGATCTCCCCCAAATCTATGTGGAAGCTGTGTGAACCCAAAAATAAATAAATAAATAATAAACAGTATCCCAGGCTTTAGTATAGCTTACCTAATTCCATTTCATATATACATTTATAAGAGGCTCCAGGGAAATTAAACGGACAATAATCCGTATACAAAAACAAGTCCCAATAACAAAACGAATGGACAAAAAAGAGGAGAAAAAAAATTGAGTTCTTTTCCTGTTGAAAAGGTTTATCCTGGGGTAGTTTTAGCCCTCACAACTCAAAATACAAATACAAAAGGCGACGTTGTTGCACGTACTTTAGCTATTATCCGAAAGAATAATTAATAAGCAAGTAAACTACAAGTTCAAAAATAAAACATTAAGTGAACGTAAAACCGAAGAGCGGTAAGTCTCCAATTTCGATCTGCTCCTTCGTCTGAAGCTATAATTTATGGGCCAAAATTATGACAATCACTTTACCTACCACTACAAACACTTGTTTACCCCTTCCACAGTTCAAATGATGGAGAACTGCTCAACTTCCCCTCAAACATCTAACACGATTCTCAAAATTTTGCACCAACAAAAAGGAGAATTAAGTTTGATAGGGCAGAAACATATTGTGAATGGAACACAGTGTCTAGGCAACTATCTTCTACTGGTTGCTGCTTTGCCCTTGCTTAAGTCAGCAAGCTCCTCGATAAGCTTTCTCTCGTCACTGCTCAATCTTTTTGGAATTTCAACTTGTACACGAACCAACTGATCACCCCTCATGTTGCTTTTGTTTAGCACAGGGACTCCTTTCTTGGCCATTACAAGAGTGGTGTTTGGCTGAGTTCCAGCTGGGATCTTTAAATCCACCATGCCATCCACTGTCGGCACCTTAATCGTGGTACCCAAAATTGCATCTATGTATGACACCTTGCACGTGTACAAGATGTTGGTGTCATCACGTTTTAGCACAGGATCCTGCATGACTTCAATAATGACGAACAGGTCGCCAGGTGATCCACCTCTCCTTCCAGCATTACCTTCAGATCGGACCCTCAAACGGCTACCAGAGTCCACACCAGCCGGAACTTTCAAACTGATACGCTTTGTCCTCCTTACACGTCCATCCCCAGAGCAAGTGTTGCAAGGGCTAGATGTTTCCCCAGTCCCACCACATGAAGAGCAAGTCATTACCTGCTGGAAAACACCTAAAGGAGTCCTTGCCGATGAAACAACCTGGCCTTGCCCACCACATGTACTACATTTAGAAGGCTTTGTCCCAGGTTTCGCACCTGAACCATCACAAGTTCCACAGCTCTCTAGTCGGGTTATCTCAATTTCTCTTTCAACCCCAAAAACTGCTTCCTTAAAAGTTAAGACAAGATTGTAATATTCATCCTGGCCATCAACTGCTCTACTCCTGGAAGCTCTTCCTCCCATGCCACCCATGCCTCCCATGCCGCCCATGCCCTCAAATAGTGACTCAAACAAATCGAAAGGATTGCTGAAATCCTGGTATGAGAAAGTAGAGGGTGAAGCAAAAATATGGACAGGTTCCACTCTTTAAAACAAATGATCTTTTCATCATTGAAATTAGTAACTTACCCCCATGCCCATGCCAGCACCTTTAAGTCCAGCCTCTCCATACTTGTCATATAAAGATCGCTTCTCATCATCTGATAATACCTGCAAGACAAATTTATGCTTGGAGTCTCAGAACAATTACTTAAGGCCATGGAATATAAAATCATCACAACTCGAATCATAGACAACAAAACTGAGCTTTTACCTCATATGCATTGCTAATTTCCTTAAACTTCTCTTCTGCATTAGGTTCTCTGCAGCACAGAAATGCAATATTATCAAACAGGTCTGGAAATTAAATTTGTTCACATTAAGATGAAACTTATAATAAATAATTACAAGACCCCAAAATTGGTTGCTTCTGTATTAAATTATGATTGAACAGAACACTATTCTGCATCTATTCTTTGCTAACAACATATGAAGAGGATCATTGACAGTACAGATCCTCTATTCAGAATTTATAGAATGTTAGAGTTTGAAATTAGCTTCCATCTTTGACATTAAAATCCTCTAAGCACATTTAATAGTATATTACACTTTGGAGCCAGCTCCCTCTGCTCACCAAATCAAAATCCTTCCAAGTTATAGAGCATCTTTAATTATGAAACACCAATCACCAAAGTTCATCCAAAGTCATACAAAATTATAATATCCACACACATTGAGAATTGTTCAAATCTACTTCATCATACAAGGAAAAAACTTAAATAGGCAACATGAAATAGGGACTAAGAGAAAAATCTACTGCCTTAAGATGATATTCAAGGTTCAAATGGATGAGAGGCTTCTATATTTGTAGCCTGCAAAATATAGTTATCACACTGATTGTTGGTTTTAGACATGAAGCAAGAGCATAATAAATGAAAGCCACTGTCCTAAGTGGAATAAAGTTTCATTCATTCCCTTCATTTCTCAGAAATAAAGGGAATGGAAAATTGAAGCTATACCACCATTATTGCTGGAAGGGGTGCTTGACTTAGCACTAAAGAGCATAATTGATTTATCCAGTTTCCAATTGCCTTTGAGCTAATCCTAAAACAAGGCTTAAGCAGTAAGACACTTCCACATTTAATTAGTGAATAACCAACATTTTAAATCCATGAACAACTAGATTCCATACATTTACCATCCAAATTCAAACATATGGGACAGTCTCTAAAAGAAGGAAAAAGCAACCACCTAAATCTAGTCTCAAGCTTAACAAGCAGAACATATGATACACAGTTCCCATAAACCAAAGTCAAGACAAAGAAAACAAGATGATAGAGGCGAAGGATGGGAGCAGTCATGCTTGCATAAAAGAGCAACTTACTTGTTCACATCTGGATGGTAACTCCTAGCAAGCTTTCGATAAGCTGAAAAGCATCAGGAATTAAAAAAAAAAAAAAAGTTCAGAACTTTTTCAATGAAAGATGAAGTGTAGCTATGCCAGGCATTAACAACCGAATACAGTTTGATTTGTGGCAAGTAAACAAGTTCATTCTTAAAACAATTTGGACCACCTAATATTGCTCTATCAAGAGAACACAGTACCTTATCAATTAATATCGATGAGAGTCAGCCTTTGCAGAAATTCCATAAATAGATATTCCTACTCAACAAGATCTTTTACAAAGTTGCAGAAATTCCATACATAGATATTCCTATTCAACAAGATCTTTTATTTGTAAAGAAGCTTTAGATCAGAATCGGTTCATTACAGCTCTTAATTTCATTGCTTACAGATAAAGATTTTTTTTTTTACAAAAAAAAAAGATGTCTAAGAGTCAACCCAGTTCGGTTAGACGTGAAGGATATAGCAGTTCCACATATCACGACAGAAAAAAACATTGTAGCACATCAACTCCAATCAAGATAACAATAAAATCCACCATAAACAATTCAAGATGTGCACAAAAACACAAATAAAAATTTATTTCATAGGCACCATGGACAGACAATGGATTTAATTGTTCTCTGCCTAAAGCTTTTGAGAGACAAACTAAAACACGTAAAGTAGAAACCAGAGGACCAAAGATAGATAGCTAAAGAACAGTTTGTGTTCCTCTAGTGCACGGCCAGGCAGTTAAGGTTATCAAGACATTACACTTAGAGCCAACTTGATACAAAAAGCACCAGAATGTATCATAAACGACAAGGGAAGCTCATGAAACATCAAGCTTAAAGAACAAATAAGTGTATGATTGCGTTATTGTGACATAAATTTCAAACTGGGTACTTGCAGCATAATTCCAGTTAATGTTGAGCCTTCTTTTCATATTTTTTCAGATTAACATGTCAATTTCAGAGACAAGTATTTTGGCAGTTCAATTTTATAAGCCATAGCCTGTAACATTTCTGCATAGGTTATTTAAGGATTACAGAACCAGAACTTTATATGCGATTGCTCATAATTTCAGGGTTATATCCCTAAAAGTTCTGTCTTTGCAGAACCTTATATGTCAATTTCATTGTTCTTTTTTTCCCCCAATAATTTCCAGCAATCCTGTGCAATTGACTTGCAGCACACAGAAACAATTATTTTACCATCTTTGAAGCATGCCTTTAACCTGAAAACAGATTACCCATGAACAGCCAAAATTCTTATTAAAAGCTTGGTTACTGATCTCAAGTACTTGTTACAGTTATGACAGCCCTATGTTAGACAAGTTATCTACAGTCAACATGCACAGATGATAAGCTCAGTGCAGGAGCAGTGTTTCTTGCCTAACCACAACGTCCCACTGTACTCTTTATAAAAAGCTAGCCACCTATTAACCCATAGTGGAACAACCCAAATTCCTCTAGCTCCAGCCACTGTTCAGAAATTCCTGCACCGAAGTTCTCAATTTGAAACAACAAATTAGCCACCAGAGCTGGATCTTTTACCACCAATTTGAAGATCTAGATTCCTTCCTCCACCTAAAAGATTGTTAAAATCAGAAACTAGAACCAGCCAGCATTAGCCCACCACTTGAGAATTTAAAGCAGCTACTCGAACCCTCGGCTCTGCTGATATTGGATGTCAGATATGAATTTTATGCTAGTACCTAATGCTCTCTTTTAGTAGCACTCATTGAAGTACACAAATACATTTTAAAGTAATGCAAGGCTACATAAAGAAGCTTGCAGCAATATTAAGTTTATTACTTTTCAGTGTACATTATGTGATCAACAAAAGGTAACATGGTAGAAAATTCTACAAAAAAATTACTGGGCTACTGTTTCTTCACTCTCAGATTGTCATATCAGATTAATTCTTGTACACTTACAGAATGCCAAATCAAGATTACTCAGAAAATAATAATGTCAATTGCCAAATAGAGAGGACAGAATTTATTGGGCATAAGAATTAGGATGTGGTACAACCTTACAAGCATATTGCTCAAGCACATAAAATGAGACAAGCAGAGAACTAAAATTGAATGACAGAGGTAATATAAATAAAGTTCTGAAGATTGGGTAAGCAAAATATTTAAATTGCTTGCCCCTTGCAGCCTTTTCTGTGCCATTAGGCCTTCTGTGTGAAATTGTCATTGCCAGAATGAGATTAGGTTTCAATAAACAAAGGAGAGTGGGTATACCAGGTACATACCACTTTTAATTTCAGATTTACTTGCATTTTTTGACACTCCAAGTACAGAATAGAAATCCTGCAAATGAGAAAATGTTAAAGCTCTAAGTCAAGCAAAGTAAAGTCATCATTGTTTTCGGTGTGTGTGTGTGTGTGTGTGTGTGTGTGTGTGGGGGGGGGGGGGGGGGGGGGGGGGGGGTGGGGTGGTGTTGGTGGTTGTGGTTTGTGGTGGCTATAGTTTATACTCACACTATCAGCTCTAACTACAAACCGTGCTCCCCTTCGGCGATTTGAAGTTTGAGATGTCCCTGTATAAGACAACGTGGGGAAGGAATCCCGTGAAAATAAGCCCGAACTTGGTGCCGACAAGTAGCTCATCTTGTTGTTAACACTGCACAGTGGGTTTAAATACAGTCAATTATCTATCTGTACAAACTAATTACGAGAACTATTTATAGCACATGATCAAATGAAAATGCCAGGCTGCAAAATGTTAATATATTACAAGGCAAGACATGACCCAAAAATTATAATAAATCACTACTATTCAATGCTAAGGCCAACAAGTATTAATAGAACTCCTTCAACCAACAAATGACTAATTTTGAAAGAGACTGTTCAGAGATGAAAAACTAATACGGCTTTCAGTTATATGGCTGACTTAAAGTAGAAGAGCACCTGGTGATTGGTCCCATACCAAGTCAAAAAGCATCTAAGTTCATCTTTAGATAAAAAAAATGCTAAACTCCGCTGCCCTCCAGGAGCACCAAAATTAATTGTGTCAAATTGTACAGTTAGCAAAAACTCGTCATGGTGGTTGATCTCATAAACAAATAACAGGAGGATGTTCGGTTGATCCTGGCTTCAGAAGAGGGACAAATAAAATCATATGCGGGGACCCATTCTTCATAGTAAACATGTTCTTTACTCCTCCTTGACTAGGAGAAGGACCTTCATGTCCTACCTTCTTTTCCCCTTGGTAATACTAATATTGTCTACACAATCGTTTCCAAAGCAGTGTTCTCAAAACAACCACTGATAAAACTCACTTTATTTGGACATGAATTGTATTAAAATTTGTGGATGATATCGGCATAAAGAATCATTCATGATCTTAGATTATTAGGACCCCTTGAGTGCCTTCAAAGTAAGCAGAGAGCTACAAACTTTATCTCGTGAACTTTGTCAGTCCAAAAAGGTAAGACACCACAAAGTATGTCAGCAGAATTTGCTGTCTACAATCAAGGACCTGCTAGAGTGCTTACTATTATGGCCTGACCACCATGCCAGAAAGACATTCCACCAAACTAACAAATTTAGTAATATTAATTTTAGTTATCTGCATGTGCCTATAAAACAAGGTGGCTCTCGGTCATCTGAGAGCCAGGCTGACCAGGCATGGCTAGTTCCAAGCAGTGAAGAACATCTTGTGGTAGCCCAAAGGAAAAAACAGATATGGAGAAAAAAAAATCTAGTGTTTGTGTGTGTGTGTGTGTGTGTGTGTGTGTGTGAGAGAGAGAGAGAGAGAGATTAAATAGATATGCTCACCCATATGGAGCCGTCACCAGCCTATTTGGCATATAGGATCTTATCATTAACTGAGGGCGAATACCCCATTGAGCAATTGATGTACTTCCACAAGGTATAATGGCCATCTAAATAGATTTTCAGCAACAAAACGGACCTTATCAGCTAGTTTAAGTCCAATAATCTTCTTCAAGCTGAAAAAATTTACAAAACTTTGAGATTTAGTCTACCATATACAACATAATCAAAAGTAACTTAATTACACCATTTACTGTATACAAATGTACACACTATAAAGTTGTTGGAAAAGGCTTTTGCTCATATTTTTCCAAAGGATACAAGTAACCAATCAATAAATATAAGGCAAGAGATGTTATGTGCAGAGTTACTAGGAACAAAATCACAAATCCTTTGCTGGCAGTGAAACTGATACCTAGTCATAGATTTATATGTAATCAGCATAGAAATTTGAACAAAAACCACTAAGAGACGCTGGAAAACCACCAGAGAGATTTCATTCAACAATAGCAAGAGTTTCACAGGACTTGTGGTCGACATTCCTGCTAAAATTTTGATGACTAGTACTTTCATCACTTGCCCACATAAGGGAATGCTATACAATTTCACTAGCAATGTAGAACTTCAAGAAAATTGCCAGTTAGCAAATAATAATAATAATAACACAATTGTTGACGGATTCTATTCTATACCTAAAAAGTTAACTTTTTTAGTGGTTGCAACGTTTTGGAAGAACTTCTCTTCGTTTCTCAAAACCAATAATTGAACTATTAGCTTCCAAATTCGGTAAAAACATTCAAAATGCCAACCAAACAACACAAAAACACATATACAACTGGGGTTTCGATTCCAACAACAACAAAAACACACCAAAAAAAAGCAATTTGCAATTCGATATTCACGTAAAATAACAAAGTTTCCAATGACCCAATAACAAAAATGACCTATATTCAATAAAACCAACACCAAAATCAGAAAACATAACCATGAAAAAAACAAACTTTCTCTTTCTGGCTATATATTAAAAGTACTACAAAATTAGGGCAGTTAAAGAGAAAGCAAAGTACCCTATATAAAAGGAACCTGCTTTGTGTATTCTCTTCTTCCTCTTCTTCTTCTCTCTTTCAACGTCTCAGTTGCTTGCCGGTTTAGCTGCTTCTCTTGCACAGAGAGGGAGAGACGGAGAGACGGGTGGTGTTGTTGGCAGCAGGCAAGAGTAGAAGGAAGCAAGTAGGAGGAGGATGAGGCTAGAGGTTTCTCATTGGAAAAGAAGAAAATCTCATTTAAATTAGCTATTATTAGGTGATTTTGCCTAATTGGTTCTCTGTTTGTAACCTACTTCTGTGCCGTTCAATATTATTTGTTTCATCTTATGTCGTAGATTCTTTTTCTTTGATATTGTCTTCTTTGCTCATGTGCTCGTTTGTACCCTTCCAAAAATCAAATAATAATAATGGAGTGTTTTTTAAAGCATTAAAAATCATAATTCACATTAATAGTTCAACCAAAACTGAATAATATATAAAATTAAAAGTGACCACCCACGATAAAAGTTAAGTATTTTGAACGGAATACAATCTCAACTATTAAAATCTAAGTCAAGTCATTATATATAAAAAAAAAAAAAAATTCTTACTAATGTGTCAATTTAGATTATGAAAAAAAAATAGCTATTCAGCAATAAAACCTATATAAAAAAAAACATAGTAAAACATATAAATCAATTTAAAACATCATTATCATGAGAGAATTAAAAAAAAAAAAAAAGGTTACTTTACTCTATGGTAAAAGATTAAGCAACCTTCAATTTACATCATTTTGAAAATGCTTCCATGATAAAAAAAAATAAAAAAAAAGTCACGTGTGAGTGGCATTACCTCTATAATTTAGATTTGATGAAACTATTATACTAATGAGTTTTCTACTATTTTTAAATAATTAATATTATTTATCATTATTTTATTTATAAATGGTTATTCTTTTGTTTATGTTTTTATAGAAAACGTGATGCTCGTCAAATAAGATAACTCTCTTGAAGGATCATGACTGAACAAGTCGATACTAAAACTTATATCCTTTTAGCTTTTTTTAAAATTTAAGTTCCTAATTTAATTTTATTTATCTTTAAATATGTCAATTTAAAATATGTCATTAATAATATATAACCATAAGATTTATCTTTAAGATTTCTCATTAGCATAGCGAAGTGTTACTCTAAAATTTCATCATTTATAAAAATATCTCTCACCATAATTAACTTACATAAATAATCTTGTCCCAAAATTCATATTCAAATTCTAAATAAAAATTTTCAACATCATAATTTTAACATCCTTACATTTATTATTTTAAAAATTAATATTCATTTAAAGCATAATCTAATCGTTAGGAATACGCAAAGGCAAGCACATGAGTCGGTAGTTACTAGGAGCGAGCATCAACATCCTCAACATGTGCATCATTACCTACACCATAAAACGAACGTGAAATATTAATATCCCAACAAGTGTAAAATGTATGATTTTACAACTTTTTATACATGAATGTCTTCAAAATTCTTTTTCTTATTTGGGCTCATTAGAAGATACTAACACCGATTTGCGGGGTTTAGCTTCAATAAAAATATTAACATCCACATTTATGCCTCGATAGGCAACCTCAACATGCATTCAACAATGACCTCATTCGTTTATTTAAAGCATTTTCTTTCAATCAACATGCAAATATATATGTATGCATATGAATGCACCTCAACACCATCACATCACATCAATCACATAAAAAACTCATAGCATTTATGCCCATTATGTAGATGAGTTATATTTACATGATTCGCTTAGAATCACTATTTATCGTAATTTTTTTAAAAAAATTGATACCTCGAGTTGATTTAATACCTTGAACATACACACCATATAACATAAGAAATTGAATTTTATTATTTTATCTCTAATAATTTAATTTTATTAATTTCTATTCTTTTCTTGTAATTTTTTAAATTAAAAACCCTAATTAAATCATCAACTCTACCATAATTTATTCAATTCTCTTTTAATTGTTTCATATAATCTAATGTTATTAAATTTTAGCTTAACATTTTCAATTCTTATTTAAATGCACTTAATCATCAAATATTCTTTTAAAAATTTAAGATTTTAATACTAAAATATAATGTTTACATAATCGAGTCCTAAATTATGAAATTTCCAACTCAATTCTACCTAAAATTATATAAAAATAAATAATTAAATTAAATATTTTTCTTACCTTAAATATTTATTCACTAAGACTTGAATCTTCTTTCAAATACCTTTGACTTCACTTCTTACTCAATTATATTGTCTCTCTTTGTTTTTTAGTTTTTTTTTTTTTTTTGAAGTATAAACTTATGAAGTGACTTTTCCTAAACGAGGAGAATGAAACCCTATATATAAGCATAGGGTGTAATAACCGATACCCGCTGAAACTGAATTACATAAAAATTTAATATTAAATACATGTGAAGAACGATCATAGTGCCTTGTTAGCTTACATTCATTACACTTCGAATGTGGGTTAACGGCAGTAATATTCTTAACCTATTAGGTCCTAAGTTGAGGGTGTTACATGAGGAGTCTAAACATTTAGTGATTTTAAGTGCATAAATTAAAAAAATAAAATAAAGAACCATTGACCTTTTTTTTTATGGCCACTAAGTGGTTTTTCTTTCATGACCATTAAATGGTCACTTTCTTTTTTTCATAATCATCCATGTTTCCTATTTAATTTAATGTATGTTTCAAAACTTTTTCTCTCCTTTCATAGCCACTAACATTCCTTTTTAAAAAGCCATTAAAACTTATTATGATTATTATTATTATTATTCTTTAATTCCTAATAGCTTATGCTAAGGTCGTAGGACTCATTCCTATCCATAAAAATATAATCTATAACACCCAAAAATATATATTAGATCATAAAACTCCATACCTAATAATCACATCCACCAAAAACATCAAAATATTGAATTAAATACATAAATAAAGCAAATTTCTACACATATACACATAATATATTATCATGCAAAGTGTTTGGGTATTATAATCCTCTCTTTATAAAAAATTCCGTCCTTAAAATTTACATACTTGTACAATTTAAGATATCTTTCCGTTATCTCTTTTTCTTGTTGCCACGTGGCTTCTCCAATCTCGTTATTTCTCCACAACACCTTCATTAATGCCACTTCCTTATTCCTCAACCTCTTTACCTCTCGATGTAATATCCGTATCGGTCTTTTTTCATATGTCAAATTTAAAGTTAACTCTATCGGTTCTATCATCAATACATTATTTGGGTTAATTACATATTTTTTTAACATCGATATATGGAAAACATTATAGACTTTTGTTAAAGATGGAGAGAGAGCCAATCTGTATGCTTAGTCACCTATCCTATCAAGAATCTCATAAAGTCCGATGTATCTAGGACTCAATTTTCCTTTCTTCTCAAACCACATTACACTTTTCATCGCTGCTACCTTAAGAAACACATTATCACTAACTTCAAACTCTAAATTCTTTACTGCTCCGATCGACATAACTTTTTTACGTACTGCGAGTCGTTTTCGTTCTTAACCTTATCTTTTCTATCACCTCGGCTATTTGTTGAACTATCTTTAGTCCTAATAATTTTTTTTCATTTAGCTCATCCCAATGAACCAATGATCTAGACCTCCTCCCATATAGTGCCTCATAAGACGACATTTCTATACTTGTCCGGTAACAATTATTATAGACAAATTCTACCAATGGTATATATTTTTCTTATTTACCCCGCTAGTCAAGTACGTAAGCCCTCAAGATGTGTTCTAACACCTGTATCACCCTTTCGATTGCCCGTAACTGCGAAGGTGGAAAGCGATACTAAAATTCAACCTCTTACCCCTTACCTTATGTAAACTCTTATAAAAATTCAATGTGAATCTTAGATCCCTATCGGATACAATTGATATGGTTACTCTTTGGAACCTTATTATATCTCTCATA